CTAAAGGCTGCAGCTGATCCAGCATCCTTGATTTTGGACTCCCTCAAGGGCTTCTACAACTCAGAACTATTAAATTTTGATGCAAAAAAAGATACGATCCTTTTAGGTATTCGTCGGACATGTATAATGTTGATGGAGTGCCTTAGCATTTTACTGTCAACAATGAAAGTGGAGTATATTCCGAGAGTTATCTCAGAAAGTACTAAGGCTCGAGCTAAAGCTATTGCTAAAGAATGGAAACCAAAGTTGGATGGTTTGGATGTTGGTGTGAATCATGGGAACTCCTTGGAGGCTCATGCATTCTTACAACTTCTAGCTACGTTTGATATTACCTCAGATTATGACATGGATGGTTTAACCAAGTTGATACCCATGGTTTCCCGTCGTCGTCAAATAGCTGATTTATGTCGTTCTCTTGGACTTTCGGATAAAATGCCAGGTTGGTCCTAACATATTGTATCTTAGTAGTTGCAGGACTTTCCAAGGGGATATACAGAGTAGTATTTTTTTATTAGTGCGTGTAGATGCTTTGATTTTAATTTAAAGTATGAGTGGCATTAGCTATTAATTAACCAGTTAATAATCTCTTTGAGATTCATTTATGGCCTTCCTCGGACCAGATTGAGGAAATTTGTATGGAGTTTTACTTAAAAATGGAGTTTAGAAAAAATAAAGTCAAAGGCAGTCACTTCCTCTAGTTCATATTTATGCACAAGTACCTACTAACTGATTTCCCACTGTGTGGCATGCATCTCCTTCATTAGTCTTACTGCTTGCAACTCCTTTGTTTTTTCCACTACTTCATAATGAGCATATCTTCTGGATTTATTTATGTAGCTCCTCATTAAAGAATGATCACTAAACGTCCATGTTTTTTTAGGTTTTTAGTATTGTATAGTGTATAGAAAAGGAAAACAATATTCACAACATTATTTTCTGCTTGTACTAACCAGGTGTTATCAATCTGTTGGTAAATAACGGGAAGCAAATCGATGCTGTTAATATAGCTTTTGCATTTGAGCTGACAGAGCTGTTTCCCCCGGTTCCGCTACTGAAATCTTATTTGAATGAGGCAAGCAAGGTTCCTTCTCCAGGAAAATCTGGTTTTCCCTCACTCACTGCACAGGTTTGCTCATTTCGCTCCAATATTTCTTATGTAAGGTGCACTATAAAGAATGGGATGAATCATTACGGTTCTGCTGCAGTTTCTGGAGTCAGATCAAGTCAATTTATATGATGATAAATCATGAAAAAATCCTAGTTTTGTGAGACAGACATAATATGGTGATGTATTGAATTGACAGAATAGCTAACCAACATGACAGTAAAGCCTTGGCAAGAATGATATGCCAGAGCCCAGAGTTTACATGATGGAGCCTGGGCATACAGCAGATGCCCGGAGCTTTATTGCCAGAACAAAAACCTTTAGGCTATGTTTGGGACACAGAAAATTAT